AGTCTGACATGCCCATACTCCAGGTTCCTCATTAATGAATCAAAACTAGTTCATGACATTTTTCAAAAGTCATCTATACAGAACCTGTAGTGGTTTTTCCCTCCATCGTTCACTAAGTAACACAATTTAACAGCTACTTCCTTCCATAGCATTTGCCTTGTAGGTCACCAAAGATGATGAAAAGTGTTCAGGAGGATACGTGTATGTTCTGGGCAAACATCCATCACTTTACAGAGAAAACCCTGTGGATTTTTGTATCTTCAGGGAGGCCCTGAAATCAACACCCCAAAGGACTTTGGGGGTCCTTGCAGTTTTGCATTTTCGGGAGACGGGTCCGAGGAGAACAGGTCTCTTGTAACTGGCAGAAGACTCCGGAAAGGAAAAAAAATGTAGAAAAGGCTGGGGCGGGGGGTGTCTCAGGGGTAGAATGCAAGGCTTCGGGTCCCGCTGGCAGAACTGGAGGGTGTGCGGTGGGCTAGAGAGAGCCTACAATCCAGAACATGGGCCGAGCAACTATCAGGGAAAGGGCTGGGCACCTCGCCCACGGGCTGTGCCGTGTTCCTGGTTCCGTTGGTCGGCTCCCTCGGTGTCAGCAAAAGAGGCCACTGCCGCTGGCTGGCCCCGAGTCGGCCTGCTCTTCTCTCCCGCTGCCCTCCGGCAGCCCCGTGCACGATGGGAAAGAGAAAGCTACCCTTTGCTCTAGTGCACCGGCCTCCGCCGTGGCTGCGGGCTGCCCACAGGGGCATGCGGGAGGCCAGGGAGCCCTTGGCTCCTGCCGTGGCTGCAGCTGGCATGCTGCCCGGGCAGCCACCTCCAGCCGCAGCTCTTGCTGCTATTTGCAACTCTCCACATCCTGAGCTGGCTCCTGGGGCCTGCCCCTTAGAGAGAGTGAATCCGACACGGGAGAGGCCTGGGGGAAGGGGGCACAGTCTGCCTCTTCCTGGCCCAGGAAGGGACTTGGACCTGTAGGGTCTTGAGGGGACGGTGGCCTGGGGTCCTGAGCATCAGCCAGTGACCAGGTGTTGTCCAAGTCACCGAAACAGCGAGCGTTTGGGACTGCTAGTATCGCCTGAAAATGAACCAACTTCCTTGTATCCTCGCGGAAAGAACTCTTCAGAGTGAGTGATGCCGTCACCGGCCACCGGCTTTATTATTTCCACGACTTTGGCGGCATCTAAAATTCTCTTTACATATGTGTTTCCTTGTTAACTGTGTGTTGAATTGTCAGGTAGGTCATAGACCCCTCTTGTGAAGGAGGCAGTTGGTCTGTTTTGCTCCAGGGCCAAGCCCAGTGTCTGGCCCATCTACTAAAGGGACAAATAGGTCCGAGACTAGCCTGTTGTATACACTAGCCAATTGCCTACCAATGCACCAGGTCTTTGGATTTTTCAACCTTCTGTTTGGACAAGGTGGTCTCGTGTACCTATGGAAAGGAACTGGTTATAATGGGGTGTAAAGAGATGTATCTTTGGCTCTGGAGAGATGGCTCAGTGAGCCCAGGTTCAGCTCCCTGTTCTCACACCGTGACCTACAGCCTCCTGTAACTCCAGTCCCCGGGGATCGGCTGCCCTCTTCTGGCCACTGAGGGTATGAGGCACATACATGGTACACATACATAAATACAGGTAAGAAACCCACACCCTGTAAGATAGTTAAATATTGAAATGAAGAAGAAATGCATCCTTGGAACACAGCAGTTAGGAGAGCTTGTTTTTCTTCCAAAGGACCCAAGCTCAGTTTCCAGAACTTAGCTCACATCTGGCTACTCACATCTGGCTACTCGCAACTGCCGGGAGCCCCAGCTCCACAGGATCTGACGCTCTCTCCCACATGCACATGTACATACCCACATATACACATTAAAAGAAAGTAAAAAATAACGTGTCCTTTACAGCTTTATTATTTTTAATTTATTATTATTACTATTATTATTATTACACCTTTTGGGGACAGGGTCTTACTGTGTAGCCCTGACTGGCCTGGAATTTACTATAGAGACCAGGCTGGCCTTGAACTCACAGAGCTCTGCCCACCTCTGAACCCCTGAGGGCTGCAGTGACAGCCTTGTGCCACCACTCTGGGGGGGAGGGGCGTTCTAGCCGTATTTTCTTTCCATCCTGCAGCATAGAATTGGGATATAAGTGGTCTTTACAGTCTCTTTGATGGCGTGTGTCACTTGTCACTACTTAATGAACTCGCGTGTCATTAAGAGAAGGTAAAATTATAGAGTAGGTGGAGAGATTCATACTTAGTATAACCTTGAACATAATCATTTAGAAGTCCTTCACTTAGAACCTGGTTGGAATAAGAATCGAAACCCGGTTGGAGGCAGCGGATCCGGCCTACTGACTGGTTCTCCGACGGGTGTATTCAGGGAAGCTGGGCCTCTGATGAAGGAAAATGAATGAAATGTCCTTGCGTGATCATTCGTGGGAGTGAGGGGTTTCTTTTTTATTCTCTTGCATCTCTCTATTTAGCACGTGTGTGTGTGTGGGGGGGGTGTATATGTGTGTGCACAAACAACACTGTGCACGCTGTGTCGCACAGTGTGGGGGAGGTCAGAGGTCAGCTTCGGGTGTCAGTTCTCTACCTTCACCGCGTGGGTTCCGGGACTGACCTCGGCCTATGGGTAGATGTCTTTACCCTCTGACCGGTCTCAGAGGCCAGGGAAAGCTTCCTTTTCGTTTCCTCCGCCTCTTTCCCTTCCTTCCTCCCCCGTCACCCCTCCATCACCCCCCACCGCGGTTCTCCTAGCTCAGCCTCCCAGGTGCTGGAATGACAGGCGTCATGAGCCACCACACCGGGCTGGGGGACATTCACTCTGCGAGTGAACATTAAACTCTCTGAACATTAAACATCTTATACTTGAGTTTAAAAAAAAAAGTCATCCAAAAAGAGAAGAACTTTGCAAAGTAACCATGATTTCTGAAAAGTGTGGTGTGGTGTCACGTGAATATATCGTCTTGAGACAAAGTGGTATCAGTGAACAAAGCCATGTCCACTTTTCTCCCAAGGTCCTTTTACCTCTAGAATTATAATGCTATGTCCAGATTTCTTGGTGGCATATCCCATCCTTCTGGGTATGTGGGTCACAGAGTATGAGAACCCAAGCTTGTAGAAATGGTGTGTGCCCCCCATTCAGCGTTAGGCCAACTGTTAGGATATACAGTTTGTTTCTGAGTAGAAAAGCAAATTTGTTCATGGAGACCTCAGTTTTGTCTCCCTGCCTCCTTCCTCTCCTCCCTTCCCATGGCACAGTCTGCCTATGAGGCCAGGCTGGCCTCAAACTCACCATCCTCCTGCCTCCGTGTCCCAAGGGCTGGCGTTGCAGGCATGCCCTAATGTAGGTGGTCCAGCTGCCAACAGCTGGGATTCCTAATGCTTCTGGGACAGACAGACCTAGAAAGATGTTTAGCCATCGCTCAAGCAAGGTGAATTGTGTTGGGACACTGCCACAGTTTGCTTTCGGTTACTGTGACCAAACGCTGCCTAAACAAACATGGAGAGGAAAGGGTTGATTTTACCTCAAAGGGCACAGTCTCTCACTGAGGGACGTCAGGGCAGGAACTCAAAGCAGGAACCCGGAGTCGGGAACTGAAGCAGAACCATGGAGGAACACTGCTTGCTGGCTTGCTCCCAGCTCAGGGTCAGCTACCTTCCTTATATAACCCGGGACCATCTGTCCAGGAGTGGCACCTGTCACAGTGACCTGGGCCCTCCCACATCAATCAATCAATCAAGAAAATGCCCCGACAGACATGCCTACAGGCCAATCCGATGGAGGCAGCTCCTCAGTGGAGCGTTCCCTCTCCCCAGTTCGTGTCAAGTGGAGAACACTAACCAGCAGACCTCCCTCCCCCCCCCCCCCCCCCCCCCCCCCCGCCCTCCCCTCCGCTGATTTAACAGAAAGTGGAAAGTTAAGCCAGACCGTGGTGGTGGCGGTGGTGGCAGCGGCGGCCTTAATCCCAGCACTCAGAAGGCAGAGGTAGGTGGATCTCTGTGAGTTCAAGGCCAGCCTGATCTACAGAGTGAGATCCAGGACAGCCAGGGCTGCTTGAAAAACAAAAAAACAGGGATGGCTCAGTGGTTAAGAGCACTGGCTGATCTCCCAGAGGACACGGGTTCAGTTCCCAACACCCACATGGCAGCTCACAGCGGCTGTGGGATGTCTTTCTGTATGCTGTGAGTATGCGTTGCCAATTGGCCTATGGCGAATCAGGTTATAGCTAGGTGGGAAATTGAAGAGAAAGACAGGAAGAAGAAAGGCAGAGGAGGAGACGCCATCCTTCCGTGCAGGGAGCAGCATATAATGGCACACAGATAAAGCCAACAGAGGGGTTGGGGTTTAGCTCAGTGGTAGAGAGCTTGCCTGGAGAGCACAAGGCGCTGGGTTCGGTCCTCAGTTCTAACAAAAAGAAAATCAAAATAATAATATAATAATAATAATGCCAACAGAACATGTGGCAACATATAAATTAATAGAAATGGGCTGAGTTTAGTTATAAGCGCTAGCTAGCAAGCTTGGGCCATGGGCCATGGCCATACAGTTTGTAAATAATATAAGCCTCTGTGTGTTTATTTGAGTCTGAGCAGCTGTGGGACAAGGCAGGACACAGGAAAACTTCTCACTACACACACCTGTCTGTAACTTCAGTTCCATGGTAGAGAAGACCCATGGCAAAACACCAAGGCACATAAAATAAATTTTTAAAAAAGATTTGTAAAAAACAAAGAAAAAGAAACAAACAAAAAACCCACACAGGACCTGAGAGGAAGGGGAGGGAAGGGAGGAAGGCCATACAGAACTTGCACTCCGGGTACAGGCTGAGGGTTTCCTTCTCAAGGAAACCAGGGTGGTGGCTTTGGCCTTACCTATCATCTGTGTGTTAGAAACCATATCACATTTTAGGTCAGTGAGAAGAGACTTACGCCCAACAAATGGCACCACCCAGCGAATTCTGCAGTATCATGCTGGCTCTCTTTTTAAAAATTTAAAATAGGGGCTGGAGAGATGGCTCTGCCCGTCAGAGCCCTGGCTGCTCTTCCAGAGGACCTGGGTGCAGCCCACCACCCACATAGCAGCTCACAACCATCTATAACTCCAGTTCCAGAGGGATCTGACGCCCTCTTCTGGCTTCTATGTGCACTACATGCCCACAGTGCACTTATACACAGGCAAAATACTCATACACGAAAAAAAAAAATTTTTTTTTCCGAGACGTTTCTCTGTATAGTTTTGGTGCCTGTCCTGGAACTCACTCTGTAGACCAGGCTGGCCTCAGACTTACAGAGATCCGCCTGGCTCAGCCTCCCAAGTGCTGGGATTAAAGGCGTGCGCCACTACCGCCCTGCAAAAATATTTTTTAAGATTATAGAAAAGCCAAATGTGATGGCTGGCGCACACCTTTGATCCCAGCAGCCTGGGGCAGGGCACAGGCAGGTGGATCTCAGCCAATCTGGTCTATAGTGTTCTCCAGGGCTACATAGTAAGATCCTTCAGAGAAAGAAATAGATAGAGGGAGGGGGAGGGGGAGGGAGGGAGAGGGAGAGAGAGAGCTCTTCAAAGCATAAAGTTTCTTATATCACCCTGGATGGAGTGGTTTTGACTAGCTTTGCTGAGAGTACATCTTGCTTAGTTTGCACTTTAAGCATTTTTCTCAGACTTTCTTCCCTCTGACGTGATGCCAGATGAGTTTTATTTTGTGTGGCAGGAAGACCAGAGCCCGGGAAAGAGTCTGCGGAGGATGTTAAGAAGATCACTTAAGAATGTTCAGATGGCCATTCCCGTTGCTCACCTAACTGCTTTCGTGGAACGCCACAGGCCGGGAAGGCACGCTATGGCGCCCTCCTCGGTCCAGAGCCCCTGGGTGGAAAAGTCTGTCTTGAAGAAATTCTTTGGCTTTCTGAAAATTAGTAAAAATTTCTCCTTTATTAGTCCATGACAGTGAAGTCTCAAGACAAAACAAAACAAAACAAAACACCATAGATTCAGATTTCCTTTCATCAAAATGGGCTTTCAAGGAAGGGGCTTTGAGTAGGCCCCTCCCAGCAATTGGGGAAATGCTAAGTGATAAAAATTCCTCCAGAACAAGCACTCTGCAGAGTTCCAGGGGAGAGTGGCCTGGAGCTGGGCCTGTCTCCCTGGTGACCGTCCTAGCCTCTATCCCTGGCCAAAGTTCCACCCCTTAACTTGCCAAATGCGACTGGAGAGCATGGCCGGCCGGTCTCTCACCCCGGCCAGCCCCATGTGCTTACGGAATGGCTCGCTCCCGACCCGCAGAGTGAAATGAAAGGGAGTGAGGGGAAGAGCAAAGACAGAAAGTAACCCTGAGGCTCTGCCGGGAGCAGGGTTGAAATCCACTCACTCCTTCTTCCTCCTTCAGACATCCTTTCCACAAATCCTTGGATAGTGGAGGCGTGGACGCCAATAAAGGTATCCGTTCTTTTTGCTCCTTTGGTTTGTAATTATCCTCTTTCGAAGTGGGGTACTTAAAATATTGCAAAATAGAAATATTTTTATGATTTTTTTTTTCTTTTGAGACAGGGTTTCTCTGTGTAGCTCTGGAGCCTGTCCTGGAACTCACTCTGTAGACCAGGCTGGCCTCGAACTCACAGAGATCTACCTGCCTCTGCCTCTGCTTCCCCAGTGCTGGGATTAAAGGTGTATGCCACCACTGCCTGGCTCTTTAATGATTTTTTTAAGTGAGTTTTTTTTTTTGTTTGTTTTTTGTTTTTTCTCAAATTTAGCTCTAGCTTGCCTGGAACTCCTGTGTAAACCAGGCTGGCTTTGGACTCCAAGAGAGCTGCTGGGATTGTTTAATACTTTTATTTTATTTTCTATGTATGAATGTTTACCTGCATGTATGTATATGTATATATGCTCACCACATGTGTGCCTGGTACCTGAGGCCTGAAGAGGTTGCTGGATCCCCTGGACTGGAGTTACAGACAGTTGTGGACCACCACGTGGTTACTAGGAACAGAATCTGGGTCCTCTGGAAGAGCAGCCAGTACTTTTAACTACTGAACCATCTTTCCAGCCTCGGTTTTTTATATAGTGCACAACTTACTTGCCTGGTACTTGCTGAGGTCAGAAGAGAACATTGGGTTCCCTGGAATTGGAGTTATAAATGCTTGTGAGTCACCAGGTGGGTACTGGGAGCTGAATCCAGGTCCTCTGCAAGAGCAGCAAGTGCTCATAAGCCCTGAGCCATCTCTCCAGCCCAGTTTTAAGCATTTTTGTCAATAATAGTTGACAACTACTTGGTCCTAAAGTTGAGAAGATTACATCTGGCAGAAAAATTAAGACATAGCAAAAACATTTAAAAAGGAAGGGAGGGAGAAAGGGAGAGAGGGAGCAGGGAAATTTGCATTTGTCTTGTTATTCCCTCCACCCCACTCCTTTAAAAATATTCCTGGCTGAGACAGGAGAGATGGTTCAGCAAATAAGAGTGCTTGTTGCTATTGCAAAGGGCCCAAGGTGAATTCCCAGCATGCACATGGAGGCTCACATATTCCTGTAGCACCAGTTCCGGGGAATCTGATGCCGTCTTCTGGTCTTCTTACCACCAGGCACGAACATGGTGCACATAAAGTAAAAATAAAGTAAATGAAATATTGTTTACTGTTATTTAGAACACGTGTTTATTTGTTTATTTTTAGGCTTTAAAAATGTTTTATGTGTATGAGTGAGTTTGTTTGTGCATCATGTGGGTGAAATGCCTGCAGCAGCCAGAAGAGGGCATCAGATCCCCTGAAGAGGGAGTTACAGATGGTTGTGAACTGATAAGTAATGCTGGGAATCAAACCCAGGTCCTCTGCAAGAGCAGCCAGTGAGTGCTCTTAACTGCTGAGCTCTCCAGTCCCTGAGGCACATATTTTAAAGAAAACAACTCTGACACAATTTACTGACTAACACATTTTAGATATTCTGAAAGTTATAAAGTTATAAAGAATGTTAGCCGGGCGGTGGTGGCGCACGCCTTTAATCCCAGCACTCGGGAGGCAGAGGCAGGCGGATCTCTGTGAGTTCGAGGCCAGCCTGGGCTACCAAGTGAGATCCAGGAAAGGCGCAAAGCTACACAAGAGAAACCCTGTCTCGGAAAACCAAAAAAAAAAAAAAAAAAAAAAAAAAAAAAAAAAAAAAAAAAAAAAAAAGAATGTTAACACAAACAAACCAAAAGCAATCAAGTGTTAATACCTTTGCAAAATTTCTTTTCCTGCCCATTCCACTTGACAGACTCAACTGATTGGCGTCTACAACTCTGCAATTACCCAAAGATAGCTGAAGCCTTTGTTCATTTTCAACCTGTAAGGTCGTAAAATAACGAAGGATAAAGAGGAATGAATACCTCAACCAGTGGGTTTCCTTGGTTTTTCACATGCTATCTGCTTGCATTTTATTTATTTATTTTCATACTGTCTTCCACTATGGGTTTGAACCTTTACTGAGCCCTAAAGAGCAAGACCTTCCCTATTCCTTGTATGCAAAATTATCTGAATAGCCTTTTTAAAAGTTACACTTGAGTTAATTTTTTGAAGGGAGTTTGTGGTAAAAATCCACCCAATGTGGCTCATCTTTTGCTTTAGTTGTTATTGGTGTTGATTTGACAAAATACACCTACAGAAGCTATCTGACCTAATGAAGGGTTTATCAGGGTTCCTGATCTGAGGGTCCGGTCCAGCACGGTGGATAAAGATCGCAGTGAGAAAGCCTCCAGCCGTGGAGGCAGGAGCTCCAGGAAGTATGGGAACTAGGGAACTGTGAATGCCTGTGCCCTGGTGGCTTCCTCCTTTCTCCTTTCATTCAGTCCTCAGTCCCAGACCACGGCATGGTGCCACCCACATTCAGGAAGGGTCTTCCCCCTTAGCTAAATGTCTCTGGAAATACCTTCATAGACACTCCCAGAAGTGTGTCTCCTAGGTGATTTCAAAGCTCCCCAAGTTGATAGCACCAACCATCACATTCTCTGATTCAGCAATTTCACTGTTTGAAATGTATTTATGTCAAAATAAAATAATCGTAGATAGTGATGTGAGTATACGAAACAGATAAGTCACTGGAGCCTCTTTGTCAAAAAAAAAAAAATCACAAACTATCTAAACATTTAACAATGCAGGACTGAGCAAATCTGTGAATGAAAGTTCCTAGAAAAAAATATGCAGCTTTCCCTGAACCTTCTACAAAGCTGATTAGTTGATTAGAACTTCAATAACTCTGGAGAGGTTGGAATGTTGCAGGTCAGGAGCCTAATTACAACTTATCTTGGGCTCTTTGCAGCTCTGTGTAGCATTAGCTTCCACCAACCCCAAAACTAAGAGTGTCCTCCACTCTGTTCACCTGTAAATATTTCCATTAATGTATTTTAAAAGTGTCTTTGCCGGGCGGTGGTGGCACACGCCTTTAATCTCAGTACTCAGGAGGCAGAGACAGGCAGGTGAATCTTTGTGAGTTCCAGGCCAGCTGAGGATACACAATGAGACCCTGTCTTGGGGGGGAAAGGTGTCTTGATTTCCAACTGTCTTTGTTCTTTTTCTATTAAAAACATCATGAAATTACTACCTGACCGGACAGAGCAGGGAACTTGAGGAAACTTAAGTCTTGTTCTAGGCCCTTGTTACTGATCTTAGTTAGGCTCTTTGAGATGAGAGCTGTCTTTTCAATTCCTTCAGTGGACTGTCACAAAGACATTAGACAGGATGCCACTACAGACTAATAATGGACAATGAATACTGGGTCAGGGCTCGATTGTAGATACCACAAAACCAACAAGACAGGTTGGTAAGCACACAGTGGAGCCTGCAAGTAGCATGTAAACATGTTACCTTTCTTCTTTTTAAAGTGCACATACCTACGTGCAAGTGAAAACATCCATGCATATAAAACAAATACATCTCTTAAAGCAAGAGCTGAGGGGGTAACTTAGGGGTAGAGCACTTACTCAGCAGGAAGATGGTCCTGGGTTCAATTCTTAACAGAGAAAGTAAAAAGAGGTTCATTCGGTATATGTCACTTCAGCTGTCAACGCACATACATATGCATCTATGTGTGTATATATG